ACCGTCTTCATGAAGTCATGGGAGACGGACAGGAACCAGAGGACTAGAAAATGGCCAATGTAGTGCCCCTCTTTAAAAAAGCAAAAAGGAGAACCTGGGGAACTACAGGCCAATTAGCCTCACCTCAATACCTGGAAAGTTAATGGAGCGCATCATTAAGAAGGTGATTTGCAAGCAGCTGGAGGAGGCAAAGTTGATCCCAAGCAGACAGCATGAATTTATGAACAACAAATAGTGTCAAACAAACAGCATCTCCTCCTTTGACAATGTAATTACTTGGCTGGATGAAGAGAATGCTGTGGATAGTCTATCTGAACTTTAGCAAGGCTTTTGACAAGGTCCAACATGACTGTCTCATAAACAAATTGGGGAAATGTGGACTAAATAAAACTACTACAAGGTGGATACTAAGGCTTGTGACCACAAGGCTTGTGGCTCAATAGCCACAAACAAAGGAAAAATATTAACAGGTCCATGTCAGAATGGCAGTTTTCAAATGGAAACCACAGGGGTCTGTCCTGGGCTCAGCGCTGTTCAACATGTTTATTAACAATTTGGATGCTAGCACAGAAAGCTTCTTGAGCAAGTCTGCAGATGACACGAAACCAGGAAGGACTGCAAATACACTGGAGAATGTGAGTGCAATTCAAAAATCTCAACAAATAAGAAAGCTGGACTAGGGTTAGCAGGATGAAGTTCAATGTGAACAAATGCAAGGCAGTACGCACCTTTGGAGGATCAATGAAAAACACAAATATAAAAATGGTGACACCTGGGGCTGGATGGCAGCACTATGGAAAAGAACTTGTAAGTCTTGGTAGATCACACACTCAATACAAGTCCACAGCGTGATGTATCTGCACAAAAGGCAAATGCGGTTTAGGGATGCATCAATAGAAGCATTAAGTGCAAGACACAGGAGGTGACAGTGCCTCTACTCAGCACTGGTTAGGTCTCATCAGGAGTACTGTGTGCATTTCTAGGCTCCACATTTTAGAAAGGACATGGAGAAGTTAGAGAGGGTCCAAAGGCAGGCAACAAAGATGATCAAGTGCTTGAAAAGCAAGTCATACAAGAAGCAGCTGAAGGAGCTAAAAATGTTCAGCTTACAAAAAAAATTCAACAGTCACCATCCCTCCATCCGACTTTCTTTAGAATACTCCAGCACCAACATCTCCTTTTTAGACACAATGATCAGTATCCAGAAGGGTAAAATACAGACCACCATATACAAGAAACCCACAGACCAACATACATATCTGCACAGAACCAGCAATCACCCTAAACACACCAAAAAAGCTGTGATATACAGCCAAGCCCTCAGATA